CCTAAATTCGGCCAATCATATATCAACGGTCATCTGTCAATCAAATTTTTCTGTCATAGCATCTTGATTCATATGTCACAGCTAAAATACGGAATGGCTGAAACAAGAAATATGAATCATTTCCTTTCCCATTGAGTTCCGTCCCAGTGTTCACGGGGATAGACGTCTGTGTCTTCTGCAGGCGTAGAGCTAACAGAACTGGCAGCGTTGCGAGGCAAGGGCTCAAACATGTACGGCTGGAAGCCTTCTACACCAAACCAAGCTTCTGCCGCTCTGGCTTCCTCTTCCACAACAACTTCATCCCCACTTTCCTTCTCTAAATAAGAAATGGATGATGGAGGAGACTCATCCACGACCTCAGAGCTCAAAACTCTCCTCCTCTTGCATGTCTCCACTGTCCAAGTGCTGATTTAATTTCCCATTGGGAACCTACTAGCACTAAATTACCAACTAGTTAGCAAGATGTTTCAGACAAACCGGCCACAACCAAACTTGCTTGTGAACTTTCCGCCACAACAATCCCGCCCTCTTGATAATTCACTTTATTCACTCACGTAAAGTTGTGCACCCCTCGGGGAGAATTCGAAAATGCAACGGTTGGAACGGCCGTTTCCCTACAACTTTTTTCAGCATTTTCACTGATTTTCCATTAAGGAGACATGACAGAGAGCAGAATTGCAAACCTTACAATGATAGGAATCATTTTGATTACTCACCAAAGAAAAACACAACCTGACAGAGGGAAAGTAAAATGTTATCTCCAAATTGCCTACATTTTCTTTTTTTCTGTTTAAAGACATGACTGTATAATATACTGACCAATTTGGGAATCTGTTTGCCTGTTAGTAGTAGAGACAACGAGCAAAGAACAGACCAAACCAGCTGGATCTCCAAATTATTTAGTGTTATTTTTACAAAAACGATCTCCCTGTTGGGTAAAACATGTTGCATATAGAAGAATGAATATAATTCTACTTTATTTTCAATACACTGTTACAAGTTCAAAGCAATTAAATTAATTCTATGCATTTAACCCATCCCCTTGGGGAGCAGTTGGCTGCCAGTGTTCGGCGCCTGGTGAGAAAGGTGGGGTTAACGGTCTTACTCAGAGACCCAGAGTAGAGGCTGTGGAGATCGAAAAGTGTACTTGTGACCTTCTCAGAGCACAAGCGCACTGTTCTAACCACTAGGCCAACACTCACTGCTTAAAAACTTAGCTTACAATCAGTGAAATTACAGACAAAATCTAGAAAATATCTGGCAAAGATGTTCAGAAAGTCCGGAGAACTTCTGAGCGTGGTCCCTTTAGCAAATCTGGCAAAAACCAAAATTAAAACAAGACTTTTTAAAGGTCTCATCCAGGATATCAAGTTATATAAAACAATGAAGGCCTCACCTGCTTCAATCAGGGTCAGGATTCAAGATTTCATATTAAGAGAGAGAATAATGGCATTCATTAGACAGTGGCAAGACTGAAACCACTGCTGGTCATAAGAAAACAAAAGCATGTCTTATATTTACCAGTAAAACGCTGTTCATTATTCCAATATTGATTAACATTTTAACATAGAAGTCTGTGCGCTGATTAGAAGGACCGGGATCAACAGCTGTTACTGGATGGAAACATGAATTCTCCACCTAAACAGAAAGTCGGGAAAGAGAATATCCAAGAGTTTCTTAACTTAATTGTTAAAAAAAGAAATTATTGTAATGTGCATCAGTACATCAAGGGTTAAAAAATAAAGGTCTCCTGTTTCCTAGTCAGAATCTGGACTTAAACTGAATTAAAACCCGTGGCTTTAAATAAAATTTTAAAGCTGAAAATATCTCTGAGAAAAATAAAAGATCATTTGCAAAAAATCAGAAGAGAACAAAATAATATATTTGCTGTAACTCTGTAAAATGCTTTATGGTACCTGTTGATGCCAAGGGCAGAAAACCACAATGCTAATTTTCAGAGGGTGATAACTTTCCTCTCTTTTACAAAGATAATTATCACTTAAAAGCAGTTTATCTTCCTTCAATACTTACATGTGTTTGACAAGTTAAAACATTTGTGTGATGAAAAAGAAAAATCATAGAAATCTCTAAGTGTTGAACGTATGCAGAGAATCACAATTATTTTTATGTATGGTGGTAGAGCTGTGATGCTGTGGGCCTTTTTTATCTTTATGGAGATATAGAACATGGCATCATGTGCTTTTATAAAATATTAAAAAATATTTTGTTAAAAACTAATGTATACAAGCTGTCGCTGATTCTTTTAGAAGGATAATTTTCCAAAAATTTTTTTATCAAATAAACATATTTTTTCTTTGCTCTACCTCAGTCTTCAAACCTGAAAGATGCAGAAAATGTGGAGATCAAAGGGAGAACATGATAGAGAAAACATGATTCCAGGTGATCTAGAACGATAGCAAAAAGGATGAACGGTCCAAATAAAAAGTGTTTAACAGCTGTTCTGCTAGAAAAGGGTGAAACCAAGTATTAACAACAGGAGTGCGAAAACTGTGCCACAGCCAATGCTGTTAAAAAAGATTACCTGTTAAAATCTGTGTTTTATCATCATAAAAATGACAAGAAATGATTCTTATAATCCTGGTTTTTAAACAGTAAATTTAAGATTGTTCCTGCACTCTGATATCATCTGTTTGATAACAACAATAAAACACAATAGTACGACGATGAAAAAACACACACCGCTGTTATCAGTTGTTTTCTGACAAACTCATCCAGGACACTCTGATCCACCAGATAATGATTACCACTCTGCGGTTACACCAGCTCTGGGCCCACCAGACTCATTATACATGAATGGCTTTGACACTTCTTGATTTTCATCGAGTGCCAGTAAATAAAGAAGAACAATACGACTGACTGTGCTGCGGTTTGCCTGCCGCACCCTCACCACAGCCAACATGCACGCAGTTATTGAAATTAGAAGGGGAAGGGAAGTGCTCCTTTGTTCGGAGAGATAAAGCTGCAGATCACACACAAACATGATGATCCTCTAGATTTTCTTAACCAAACTGCTATTCCACTACAGTGACTTTAAATTAGAACAAAAAGGTGATCAAAGCAGGTGGAATTCAAGACAAGGGATATTTCTATATATGTGGAAAAAAATATACATTTTGATCAAACTTTTAATCTGATAGGATAATCTGCAACTGTGACAAAGTCCATAAAAGCAGGATTTTGAGATTTTGCTGCTGTGCACTGGGAAAAAAAGTAATTTTTTCTGAAAATAAGTGCATTTGTTCTTGAATTGAGGAGATAAAAGAGACATTCTACCAATGGAACAAGACAATTTAGATTTAAAATAAGAAAAAAACAACTGCATGGTCTTATTTAAGTGCATATTATTGAATTATATTATTTTAAGAGTAAAAATACTCATTCCATTGCCAAACGATCTCATTTATCTATTCAAATAAAGGGGAAATACACTTAATTTAAGAAATTTTTACTTATTTCTGGACTATTTTTCCAGATTAATCTAAGATTATCAATAATTTTAGTTCCCTTAAATATAGAAAAGTCTTGAAGCCCATCAATAAAAGGTCATCTTTAAAAAAAGATGATCTAAAAGTTGAAAACATCTAAGAACGGCATCGAACTTGCAAAGAAAGCTCAGAGAAACAGGAAAAATTCCAAATAGCTTCAGACTTCTAGCTAGCTTGTTAAATTTTAAAGACAGGACAATAAGAAAAAGACTAAAAGATTGTTTGTTTGGGCCGGTTTCCATGAAATGATATGGTAATATAACACTTCTAGAGCAATTTACAAAGTAACAACCAAATACATCACTAGGAACCAACATATGGGCTATATTTCATGTAAAAATATGTACCAGAAATCCAGAGGTCGCACAATAACAGCCACTTAACCCACAAATACAAGCAGGTTTGTGGATAAACAAAAAAAAAAGTACATTATCTTATTGTAAGCCAGTGTGATTAGAAATTTCAAGGTGTTCATGTTTGGATTTGACAAGTTTAGGTTGTATGTTCCACCCTCATTTTAACGTGAGGCGATTTTTCTGTTGGTTCTTTGGTCAAAAATCCCATTTTCATATTTGAGAAATACCAAATACAGCAAATCAACACAAACATGTCATAATGACTCAGGCTTTTGTTTAAGGACATGGGACCAGGGTCAGCTGCAATCTAAGTTCACCACAAGCTTCACTTTTTACCATTGTATTCTGCATTTAAATGCATCATCATCTATCTGACAGACTGACTTTCACTAAAATTGATCATTATCAGGATATTGTTTTTAAATTCTGCAGCAAATCTATGGCTGAGAAAGATAAAAAGTCAAAAAGATGCAATGACGGACTGAAATGGTCTAGCAGAACCTCAAAACAGCTACGTATTAACAAGTGATATTGGGCCTTCTGTTTTTAGACTTGATGATTTCATCTGTAGATGACATCATGTTTCCTCTAACACATCATATGGGATACATCCCTATCAGCAATTATTATGCTTCTGATAACCCAGTAAAAGTCGTTGAAGAAATGGTTATAAATAAACACATTTTACATAAGAACTACTGTAAAATATATGATTTCTTTAAGAAAGGTCACCAGAATAAAAGATTATATTTTTCTAAGAAGGAACAAACAAAGCTTCAGCTGCAGCCCAACAGCTTATGGTCTCTAATTTATGGAGCTTCACCCCGAATGGGAGAATCGAAACACAGAGTGGGAGAGGGGACCTTTCTAAAAGAAATCATATATTTTACAGAAGTTCTTATGCAAAATGTGTTTGTTTATAACCATTTCTGCAACGATTTTTACGGGTTTATCAGAAGCATAATAATTGCTGATAGGGATGTATCCCATATGATGTGTTAGAGGAAACATGATGTCATCTACAGATGAAATCATCAAGTCTAAAAACAGAAGGCCCAATATCACTTGTTAATACGTAGCTGTTTGGAGGTTCTGCTAGACCATTTCAGTCCGTCATTGCATCTTTTTGACTTTTTATCCTTCTCAGCCATAGATTTGCTGCAGAATTTAATAAAATATTCTGATAATGATCAATGTTAGTGAAAGTCAATCTGTCAGATAGATGACGATAAGAACTAGTGTAAAATATATGATTTCTTTTAGAAAGAAACTAAAAAAACACATTATATATATTTTTTAAGAAGTAAAAAACAAAGAGCCAAACATCAGGCCGATGGAGCCCACTCCTCATCCCAACAGTAGCGCCCATCTGTCAGGCTTCAGCTGCAGCCCGACAGCTTGTGGTCTCTAATTTATGGAGCTTCACCCCGAATGGGAGAATGGAAACACAGAGTGGGAGAGGGGGAAAAGGTTTGTGGTTCTTTGTTTTTTTTATCAGCCTGCCACACAGGCAGGAAACACACGTCTAAATACATACACAAACACACACACACACTCAGGTTTGCATGCTTACAGACAATATGGTCTTTTCCTGTGACAAGGTGTTCATTGTTACTTAAAATTAACAGAAAAAAAGAGTTTAACGCTTGAAAATTGTAACATATATGATTATAAATCCCTTCACATCCTAGTGAAGTAATGTTAGGAAAGCCGATTATGTAATCTTTTATATATGCAGTAATCCATGCATGCCCGACTCTTTTGTCTGAGCTGCTGTGGAGCTCTCAGGGCGCTGGCTTGTGTCGTACTTTTACTGGACTGAAAGGGGAACTTCAGGAACAAGTCAGTTGATATTTAAAACTGCAGGGGAGAGATAAATGAACTTCTCGAAAAAAGGACTCTGTTTATTTGAACAGCAGAGCCAGCTCTGTTGGGTAAAGAAAGGCACGAGCTGGCTTTGCAGTAGCCACCCCAGCATTAACCATTAACTTATACAATCACGGCCAGAAGTGTTTATAGCATTCAGGTAAATTGGGTGTTTAATTGGTTTTCACTTTTATTCCATTTCTGGCCTACACACTGCAGGTAAATGCAGAACACATCTAAAAAATTAGCCGTTTTTTATCAGGTTTTCAGAGAAAACAAAACTAGAATTTCTAAGTAATTAAGAATTTATTTAAAGGTTAAAATTGACACTTTTGTGTGCAATTCATTGGTTTAAGTTGTCACAAGAAAATATATGATGATGGTTAGAAATTCCTACCTAAACCTGCAGGTTTAAACATAGATGTGTACATTAGATATATCAAGCGCCCCATATGCAAATTCTTTGGTCACGCTAGATATTGGTGGTATTCCAGGCTTAAGTGTGCACAAAAAAACAGCGCATTGTTTTTGGTAGATTGTGATCTTAATGCGGGGAAAGAGAGAGAGAGAGAGAGAGAGAGAGAGAGAGATGCTCAGCATTATCTGTGCTACCAGGAAAGAAGAAGTGAGTGAAATAAACATATCTAAATTGACTGGCCTATGAAATGTGGCTGAGGTTCTGGAGTACTGCGTCCCGTATATATATACCTGTGCAGGATGTGTACCTGCACCATTCGCTTTATTTGGACAGAAATGGCCTCAACTGATGGAAACGCTCAGACTTATAAGATGGTGAGTTATTGGAGTGTTTTATATTTACATCAAGGAGGAAAGTTTACTTAACTTTTCTATTTTGATACTAAATTTGTTTGGGTTTTTTTCAGTCATCTTTAGATCCTGAAATCAACCAACACTTTCAGGATGCAATAGATGTTATTCAGCAGCATTCACACAATGGATACAACGATACAGGTACATCCTGTTGCATTTCAAGCTATTAAAAGAAAACCTTGATGCCTTAAAGTCTAAATTATCTTTCTCTTCCAGATTACAAATATTTTGAGACGCTGGGCGGCCCGCCATCTTCTCTCCAGTTTCAGATGTCTTGCTGCTTCGTCACACACCAGTCGGACATCCCAACTGCAGGGTACGACTGGAGTGAATCTGCTGTAAGTATTGAAAAGTGCCTGGATTTAAAGTATTATTCGCAAAAATGCTGGCTTTAGGATTGACTTTAAATCTCTCAGCAGCAACCCTGGCCTCAGGGCATCCCTGATGTCTCGTTGAGCCACTCAGTTCAGAATGATCCTCCACATTTCTACTCCATCTTACCCCCTCAGAGGAACAATAAAGGTATTTTTTTATTTAAGGATTTAAAGAAGTATTTTTACTGTTGAATCAGGGTTAAAGAGGTTAATATTTATCTTCACAGGACGTAAGAAGTTGAGGCTGTATGAGTACCTCCATGAAGCCCTGAATGACCCAACCATGGGCGACTCCATACAGTGGACAGACAGCGGCAGCGGTACCTTCCACTTCATCTCCAAGAACAAGGAAAAGCTGGCTGAGTGCTGGGGCCAGCGCAAGGGAAACCGCAAGACGATGACGTACCAGAAGATGGCAAGAGCCCTGAGGAACTACAGCCGCACTGGCGAGATCGTCAAAGTGCGCCGCAAGCTAACCTACCAGTTCAACCCGGACATCCTGCACAGGCTCGGCTCTGCGCAGGTACCCATGCAACTGCAGCGCCAACCCACGCAGGATGAAGTCCACAGTCGGCAGGAAAGCCTCCCCGAGCAGAGCTACTCTGGGTCTGCAGCCACGGACTGGCACGGCTGGTACGGACACTACCAGCTTCAGGAAGACTACGACCTGGCCTCCAGCTTCACCTCACACAGCTCTGCCAAACTGTGAAATAAAAGGCAGGACATCCTGTTGCTTTCATGTATAAAAGGATTCATAAAGACTCTTGTCTGCATGCTGCAACTTAATATACTGTTAATGATGAGCTAAAATGACCTCTAAAAAAAATGTGGTCCAATCCTTTTAGCAGTTTGTGTAAATAATCTGTAAATATGGTCAGAAAATATGTTTAGATTCAAAGAAAATCTGTCTTTGCTCAATGGTTAATGTTCTCTAGTTGATGTGTGTATATATTTTTGTAATTTGTGAGTTTTCTCTGTTGGTATCAGTCCAATGTTTTAACTACAGAAGCAATTTTAGGTTTATATGAAGATATTTAACGTTTACATAAGGTTTTTATTTCTCTGAAAACTATTTTGATAAATCAAAAACATATTAAACTTAATATTATAGGAAGTTTTGTTGATCTTTTGTTCATGTTACACTGATTTTAAAGTGGAACACATTGTTTTTGTATGTTATTAAACACTAAAGCATTCATTGTATTGTAAATTAGTTGACCTTTTTGAATGTCCGATGGCATTTAGCAAAATCACTTCATAGATTATCAGATAATCTGCAGCAGATCAAATCTGCTGCAGGGCATGAAAATTTTATTTCTATTAAAAATAAACTAAGCTGTACACATTTATTTCATATGTAATGTTTTAAAAGTTTGCAGTTTTTAAACTTTTTTAAAATTTTGATAAAACGTTTTTTAAAATATTACTAAATTAACCTTAGATATATAAACATGGAGCAAAATGTATAAGAAAAACATGTAAAGCCCAACTTTAAAAGCCATTTATGTGAAATATGACAGTTTTTATTTTTATTTTTTTGCATTGTGTAAGACATCAGGCATTAAAAATGTATACACTTGTTAAAAAATAAATGTTTTACATAGGTAAAAAATTTGGTAGATCTCCTTCATTGTGTTTATTTCCTGACTTTTAGCGACATTTTCAGCATCATTTCTAAACCTCTAACGGCGTCTCCTGTGTAATGAAATATTACAGCCACCAAGAATATATAAAAATTTAGACACATCCTGTGAGGAAAAATGTGCCAGCCGGTATGTTTTCTTTTTTTTTTTCTGAAAACTGAATCCTGCGCAAAGGCTGCCGCCCGTTTTGGTTCTTATCTGCTTCAGCGGGGAGGATGTGGTCAGTGTTGGGAGGCTTTGTTGATGAGCTGCCTTGGTGGTGGTGTGGTGGGGGTTTTGTGGGATCGGTGGTCATTGTTTCAGGTAGTTCAGGGAGCAGAAATCATTTGGTGATGTGCTGACATGGGAGGGTATAAGAAGGCTTAAACATCTCAGAGTCATTTAGGTAAAACTGCCAGGACTGAACTGCAGCGGATGATCGTCTGTGATGGTAAAGAGCAGCCTTATATCACTGTAATTACATTGGTATTATTTTAAAAAATTTTGTTTTAATCGTCCATATTTATCAGAATTCTTTTCAGGAAAATCAGTCTGACTTGGAAGTGATTTTAGATTTTCTGGAGGAGTACTACAGACAAAGCACTGCAGAAAATGGTATAGAGAGAATACTGGAAAAATTATTTTACTACACAATATAAATGGAGTATTGTTTTTATCAAGTGCAACTTTTTTTCCAGCAGAAAACCGATCTTGCGATACAGTTGTGCCAGCATGTGGAGTAGACATGGCTGTGGAAACCTGCGATCAGACCTGGACATACCATGATGCATCTGTAAGCATATTCAACAAGTAAATTCAATAAAACATTAATTTATTTTAAGAAATGAATTTAAAACATACAATTCAAGCATAGATTTACTGCACATAGATCAGATTTTGACAACTGGAATTCACAGCTTATTAAAAACTACAACTCATGCTTGATTTTAAAAACATCATTTCTAATACAGGAACATATTTAGGGTTACTAAATCATGTATGAGACTGCGGTATTTAGGGACTTAGAGGAAAATGTAGTGGAAGGAAAAAGTGTGGTTAGAGAAAGTTACAAAAGAATCCGCTGACAGACATTGCAGACCGAGCTAAAAAAGACCCATTCGCTGAGTTACGCAACATCTGAAGCAGGATAAGTGCGAAAAGGCCTGAGCTGCAGTTCAGATGTCCAAGGTTAAGTTCAGTTCAGTAGCTTTTATTTGTCCAAATATGGGCAATTTTTGTGCAGTAGTAGTACACCTTTCACACACATGTTCACATTTCACAAATCACAGATAAAAAAAAAAGAAGCACAAGAGACACATAAATATTTAAAAAGATAAAAGTAAGGAGGATAAAAGAGAAAATGTAAAAAATAATAAAAAGTAAATAAATATGTGCAAATGAGAGCATAGGCCTGAATGCATGCAACATATGGCTATCTGCTTTTCCTGGTAGAGTTTAGCAGCTGAAGAGCAGAGGGAATAAAGGAGTGTTTGTATCTGTTGGTCCGAACTGGTGGGTATTTAAAACGGGAAGCAGAGGGTAGAAACTGAAATTCGTTATGTAGGGGATGGGTATATTTTATCCAAAATGGACTCAGCCTTCCTGATTACCTGATCTTCATACATTTCAGTCATGTTTTTCTGTTGAACACCCATGATCTTACTCCACACCTTAATAATCTTAGATATGGCATTCTTGTTCTTTACATTAAGAAGAGCATACCAGCAGATGGCAGAGAAGGTAAGTATGGCCTCTATAAAAGATCTGTAGAACATGGTCATTAGAGTTTTGTCAACCTGAAACCTGGCTAACTTTCTCAGGCAGTATAAGCGCTGCTGCCCTTTCTTACATAGCATGTCTGTGTTGCTGTTGAAAGTTAATTTGTCATCTATGATAGACCCAAAATATTTATACTGATGAACAATTTCAATGTCTCGCCCGGTATTTATTTAACTGTATTCTGATTGGAATACCTTCAAGTCTATAAGAAGACTTGAGACAGATTTTATTATTATTTTTTTTTAATAGGCTACGTATGCCTTTGAATGTATTGATTTTAATGATTGTCTTTTTACTCTGTTTTTAATGTTATGGTCTTTTAAACTTGTTTTAATTTTCCCTTTTTTAAATGTAGCACTTTGTAGCACTTTGAGATTTGAAGTCAAGTGTAAAGTGCGTTACAAATAAAATTCATTATTATTATTATAATAGATCACCTGATTTCTCTCAAAAGTCTGTTATTCCAAATTTCTGCTGCCATCTAACAGGAAATCTGCCAAATGTACCAATAACTGCTTTAATGACCAACAATCACTGGCCTGGATTGATCAGCAAACTGTCATGATCAAAACCCCATACAGAAGCTATACAGATCAGAATCAAGACTTACCTAAATTCAAGCATATTTGCCTCCAAATGACTCCATATTGATATAGTAAATATAGTTAAAACAAATGAGCTTGAGTGTAATAAATCTTTAAGTTTCACCTTTTCATCATAATACCTAAAATAAATGAGCTTATTGGTTATTTTAAACTAACCCATATCCCCTTGTATTTCCCCCTCTGTCAAAGGACATCAAACCCGCATTTCAGACCTTCCTAACACATGACACCCGAGCAGTCTTTGGCCAAAACACAACAGCGACATTGTCTGAGCGTGGGTCACAGCCAAACTTTGTTTCAGCGAGACAATCATCCAAACACACAGCCACAGCGGCAGGCAGGGGTGAGTTCTCCTTTTTTTTGACCATTAGATACTGTTATTGTCACAGTTGCTATTAGCCTGGGGGGAAATAATACCAAGAGAGCAAATAAAGGACCAGCCCTTTACTGTAAAACACAAAGGTGCTGTGCATGGCTTAGCGCAATGAGCTTATTTTACATATCTATCAGATAACCGCAGTGTTTACAAGTCCTAGTCTCTGACTTAATTGTGATCGCTTTAGAGATTTTCTGGGAATGTAGCTGAGGGAATGATTAACTGTAACAAGCATTAACTGCTCTGGCATGGGGACAGTGGATATTCATTTAAGCATCTCCCATTTAAACCCCATTTATCACGTATGCCACTCACAGTTTGCTCAACACCTGCAGGCAGAAGGCTGCGGCTCTTTCACTTCCTGTTTGAGATGCTGCAGGATCCGAGCATGGCCCACTGTTTGTCCTGGGTGCCGGCGGCGGCCGGGGTTTTCAGCTTCTCCTCCAGGAACAAGGACCAGGTGGCGTTGCTCTGGGGCCAGAGGAAGGGCAACAAGAGGCCCATGACCTATCAGAAGATGTCCCGGGCTCTGAGGAACTATGCCCGGTCCGGCCACATCTTCAAGGTGAAGAAAAAGCTCACCTACCAGTTCAGCCGGGACACCCTGATATCGCTGCAGAAGAGCCACAGAGGACATCTGTAGATTTTTATGAAGCCTTTTCTCGTTTCACTTTTTACTTTTCTGCCTTTGAAAGCATTTTGTGTAAATACTGAAACAAAATAAAGACTTTTGCATTGTTGCATACACTCATTAGCATCAATGTCAAACATTTGGGGCTTTTAAAGATACCTTTGATGCTTCTTAAATAAACAGTTTTGTATTTTATCTACTGTAAAAGCTCAGAATTAGACAGAGAGGGTATAATATGTAATGTTTATAGAAATGTTTCTTAGCAAGTTGCACCTTGACCTCTATAATTTGCATCCAATCACCAAACTACTGGCTTAATACTGCTAAATATTTGAACTCACATTATGTCAAAGGCAGAGCTTATTTAAATTGCTGGCTTTCTGGCACAAACTTATTTTTTAAGCATAGAAGAGAAACCTTCAATACACCTCAACTTGGGGCCATTCCCAAAGCTTAATATATAATCTGTTCCAAAGCCACTTTGATCCCTGTTTTGTAGGAGTGTAACGGTACTCTTAACGTCACTTTTGATTCGGCATGCTCAAGAAATGAACAAATACAGCTTTGTATTAAAGCTGAACACATGCAGAGCTAACTGCACAGATGCAATGTCTACTTTTCAAGCAAAAACAGCAAAACAGCAGCTTTAGGAAAGTGGCATTAGAGAGGGGATTTCCCAACAGCCGAACTTTAAATCATTTGTCTTGTTGAAGTATCCAGTTACGTATGTTTGAATATCCATTTTAAAATAGCATTTATTTACAGCTCCGAAGATTTGAAATAAATAGATTTCATGCATTTATTGCTAAGTTTTAATGTCTGTTTGTTTTCCTGAAATTATAACAGAACAAAATCTTATTAGGCATGTAGATTAACTTAGATTGGTTTAATTTCAAACTCTCTACCAGTTGGCATTTTTAAATAAGGACTGGATCATCCCAGACAGAGGTAGAGAAAGAGGGGATCAAAAGACACCGTCTGGATGGGGGATAACAGGATGATTTCCAGAATTATTGTGATGTGAGGTGAATGGAGGGCCAAATGGGACAAAATTAAATGAATAAATTTATTATGAAATAAAGAAATGTGAAGTACAAGTCCTCTAAATGAAAATATAAAGAAATGATCACATAATTAACTACATTGAGTTAATGATGAAATCAACAAATTAAGCATAATGGGGAACATAATTTCAACCCATATTATTAGATATGTTTTAAATAAATAAATAAATATAGATTTAAATATAGTTTGACATAATTTTAGTTAGGGGGGATCCAAATGAGGTTTGTCAGTGTATGGTTCTCTTAAATTGGGGTTAGATGCTGAGATGTAAGGAAGTCCCTGATTTATAACATCCTAATATCAGAAAGAAAAGGAAATAGATATTTTTATTTTGTCATCATAAACACAAAGATAATTTAAAACTGAATTAAACTAAAACATTTTACATTTTGGTATGTGCATATTTTCTGTTGGTCCTTTGACAGAGTAAACAATCAACAAGAACTTATCTAAACTAGGGCTGCAACTAACGATTATTTTACAAATCGATTAACCTGTCAATTATTTTTTCGATTAATCGACTAACAACCAACCAAAGGTTCCTTAAAGAAGATTTTTTACTAAATTAAACTAGGTGAAACTAAAATGCTTCCATTTGAGGAGTTCTAGATTGAAAATATTGACATACAAAAAGATTTTTTTGTAATCTTAAATGCAAAATGTTTACATATCTTTTTACAATTTGATGTAAGTACTGCTTATTCCAATTAACTGTTTCAGCCCTAATCTAAATTAATTTCAAAAGCCAAAAAGTCACATTTTTAACTATTAAAATGCGAAAACACATTACTCTAAAATGTCTTCAATACCAATCTTCACTTACACAGATTATCTGAGTGTAAAGGAAACATTACAGTCTGTTTCTGACTGTGGATCCATTTATGTCAACAGAGAACTTATTTTCCTATCGTGCGCAATGACGTCACAAGCAGCGTGTTCTGTGTTTACGCAAGTAAACATGGATGGTAGTGCAGGAGCGCATCTAGCAAATCTTTCATTTCTTTCCCAACCTCCGCCAGAGCATTAACAACACAATCTATTCAAGAAGGTTGAAAATAAAAACTAATTTCGTTCATGATCTTGGCACGGATGGCTGGCCTAGTTGCTCATTCCATTTACCTGTCTAACTCTGCCCAGCTTTTTCTTTACTGATCATGGTGGCGCCTGGTGGCAGCAACCAGGTACAGCTCTTGACAATTTAACAAAATAAACCAGGCATCAGTCCTACATCTATGACAGCCAATGCCTGCTGGAGCTAGGGTCACAAAATGCTTTAACTACAGCCACTCTTGACCGATTAAAAAGCTGCGGAGTGCTACGGACGGATGCATACAAAACAACGGGCTCACTGATCAGGCCAGGCTAGAGGAAGCGATGTGCGATACGGCGCATGCGAGGTAGCAGAGGTGGGCTAACGGCAGAGCTAAGAAGGAAACCCCCCGGAACACCATTCCCATCAATGAAGATTCTATATCATCTCTGAACTTCAATCTGCACATACAGTGGGCTTTTTCATCATTGCTGGAGATTTTAACCAGGCTAACTTGAAGACTGTGCTCCCTCATTTCTACCAACATGAGGACTTTGCAACTGAAGGTGAAAACACCTTAGATCTAGTTTACTCTAACATCAAAGATGCATTCAGAGCAGCTCCCCGCCTCCATCTCCCATCATCAGATCACCTCTCTGTCATGTTAATTCCTGCATACAAGCCCAAGCTAAAGCCGGGCGTACACAGTGTGATTTTTCCCAATCGTTGCACAGAGCTACAGCTCACACTGTACGACTAAACCGCAGGGTTCCGTCGTACAGCTCACGATTTATGTTCGGCCCGATGCTCTAATGTGATCTACCTGCTCACACTGTATGACTAAAAACCACGTTGGACTCAGCTCCTCAGTGAGATGGCGCTACTCTGACTCGTCTATCCAGAAGCCAAATAAATAGAAGGAGGATATTAAGCTCACTAGAGTGAAACCAGCTGCCTTAGCAATTTGTGCAATTTTGTGCTGAAAGCCCTAGAAAGAAAAGGTGACACAAACTTGGACAAAGACATGGCTGAGCAAACAGTTTTGTGTCAATTTTACAGAAAGAACTCCATTTCACTCGCTCCCCCGCCATGCTTCTGTGTTTACATCTGAGAGGAAGAAGAAGAAGAATCCTTGTTTGCGCACTGAGCGATTTGCCCACGACGGTCACGACCTCACGATTCCTGATTCTGGAGGTGGTTGTGAGAGGCTGATCGCCACTCGTAACCCTCTACACGACGCACAATCAGGCTGAAAGTCGGCCCAATGGAAAAATTCTCGCACGACTGGAAAATCACCCCGACAATCGCACAGTGTACGCCCGGCTTAATCAGGGCTAAGCCAACAGACAAAGAAATCAGAATGTGTTGTGAAGGGGCTATGGAGAAACTCCAAGACTGTTTTCATGCAGTAGGTTTGTCATTTTGTATACACTATGTTAAAAGTTTGTCTAAGTCTAAGATCTGATCCACCTCCTGCTGCTTCTATTTATATGGCTCAGTCCCAGCCATCGGTACCAGTTCAATGCTCTCGTTCTTGTTCTCGGGGGCCAGTGGAGAGAGCAGTTTTTAGCACTCCGTAGTGTTTCTGATTTCCTAATCCTGATCTGCCTCTCATCCACAAAGCCTGTCTGTTCCCATCTGAACTGGTTGCCTGAGCTGCCTGTGGACTCCTGGACCAGCCTCTTCCTATTCTGATCGGCATCCCTGACCGGGCTTTGGACTCCTGGAACTCTGAGCCTTTTTGTTCAGATCTGTTTCCCTGACCTGGCTCGGACTCCTGCATGTTCTCCGGGGCTGCAGCATTCTGGGTGGCGCCCGCCGCATCTCGTTGGCAGCCCATCGGTTGGATTCTACCTCGTTCTATGGAGATGGACTGAACTGTAAAACCAGGTTAGTGACTCACATTGATAATTATCCTCCGCCGGATTGTCGTGGTCACTAACCTGTGTTTCTCTTTAACCAGAGCATCCAGTTAAAGACGCCCCCTAGCCACAGCCGCTGATTCTGCAGATCCACAACTCGCTCTGTTTTTATTCATTAAACGCCTTTAAGTATTACACTGACTGTGTCACCTGAATACAGCGTCCTTCTGTTCTGTTTTATTAAACTTTCCACATTATTGTCCACCATGGTTGTTGTTTTTCTTCCGGCCTCTGTATAGTAAGACGCTGAATAGTTACCTTGTTGAGTATTAATGGCGTACAAGTCGGATGAATGTTACTTGGCCATTCAGACACAGGACGCAATTGAAAAGATCAGATGCAGATTGGATTCAGGACCACATAGCCAAGTGGTCTGAGCCGCATTGCAAAAAATTGGATCTGTGTTGTTCAGACTGTCATGAAAAGATCAGATACAGGTCGCATATGGGCAAGAAAAATCAGATTTGGATCAGTTCAGGCTGCTGTGTGAACATAGCCTAATATTTCTTTTTATTCTAAGAAAATAAAATAAAAACCTAAGAGACTTCCAGAAAACTGCACATGGAACCCAGATTAGCATTCTTTCTATAATGTTTTTCATCTACCCACTACCCAACAAAAGATCAGACTTCCATGCATTAACTTTTTAACTATTAAATCAAGATTCTCCCATCTTTGAGAATTCACCATAACTACTGCAAGACTCTTTGATGTTTCTCTGATAAATTGCTCACCTCACTTGACCTGTCATTTAGGTTTGCATAAGTGCCATGCTTTTAATTTTTGAGTGTTTGACTAAACAGAGATTTTCAAAGCTTGGGGTAACAAAGCTTAAATGAAAATTCAATCTGGAGGACTCTTATTAGCTTCACCTAAAACACCTGAGATGTCCCTTGTTCAGCTCCAGCTAATCAACTCAGGGCAGCACCTTCTATGAAGCCAATCATCTTTCAAGATCCCCATCATTTATATCCTTGTCTAGCTTCTTTTTCCAACACGGCAAGTGAACTTTCAGCCACCTCCACTCTAT